CTATAAACCGCGACTTCACTTAAATGAATGTAGAGTTCAAACACTCGAATCAGTACACGATTTAGGAATTAACTACACAGGAAGCCTGAACTTTGAAGAACATGCCTCCTCTATTATTTCTAAATCTAGACGGCTAATTGGTTTTATAATGAAAAACTTTTTCACAACAGAGGGTAAACTTACTCTTTACAAAATATGTGTACGACCCTCCCTTGAATACTGCTCTTTTATCTTCTCTAATATGAATATCGCAGACAAGATAAGAGTAGATGTTCAAAGACGTTTCACACGTCAACTACTAGGATGTAACTCGAATATCGGTTACACAGACAGATGTAAGCATCTATCTTTAGAACCTTTATGGCACCGTAGGCTAAAAAACAACTTAATATTTCTCTACAAAGCGATATATGGGCTCTCCTTTCTAACCTCCTGCCCGACTATCACCCACGACCCAGCCTATAGACTTAGAAACAACGCATATACACTACACACCGTAAAACACCAAAAACAAATGCGTTGTAAGTTCTTTACAGTACGTTACAGTTTATTGTGGAACAGGCTGCCAATGCCTATCCGTAATTGTGATACGTTTACCAGATTCAAAAAGCTAATAACCCTATTTCTAGACTCCAAAGAGCTTCAACATTTCCTTGAACTCCCGCCCACCGATGAGGCACTTTATTACGGACCGCCTAGTATCTAGAAAGAACAAGATTATAACAAGTTCGACTGTTACTAATACGAATATAACCAAATCACAGAATATATGGCTTATCCTTTCCTATTATTCATTGTTTATTAATCATGGCCTTATGCTCCTAACCCTAGCTTTTAGTTCCCAAATCTCTACAGGTTAAATGTACATTATTCTTCCTAAAAGTCATGTTTTTTTTCTACTGCAAGTAGACAGATAGCTCACTCTTATGGATGCTGATCTACCAAGCCGATCATACAAAGCTCAAAATTTGGCCACAAAGTCTTGTGAGTTTCTCAATGCTTTATTTGTCTTACCCTGAGATTTTTTTTCTACAATTTTATACCCTCTCATATCTTTCGATTTGCTATTAGCCCTTACTTCTTTAAACCATTAGTTATTTTCATAGCAGTGTGATATACTATATGGACATCTAACCCATAAAACAGAATTTTTAAATATCTGATTTGCTTGTAACATGGACCTAGTAGAGACAGTGCATTCCAACTATGGGCTTTGATTAAAGCAGTATTCATACTTACCACAAACGTAAGAGAGCCTAACATCACAAAAGGAGGGAGGGTGGCGTTACTGACCAGCAAACGTGATGGTGGGGAGATAAATTCAATCCACCCATGTCTATAGGGCAGAACATATGGTATTGAAGCTGACTTATCACGCAAAATACCTCTTTAAATCGTGTTACGAACGTTGAATTGGTTTCACTTCCTACCCAGTAATCCTATTACAAGCAAACTAGACAATTCGCGAATATACGAAGTCTACTCAAGACCCTATAATACCTGGAAAAAAATAATAAAAAAGGGGCTTCAATAGCTTCGATAAAAAAAGACAGCCAATTGTATATCACAATACTGTTTCTAGCACCATATTTTATTTTATAATCACACATAATTCCATACTCTCAGCTCCTTTCCGAATCGCCTTCATTTGTCAGTTGTATGTCCACTCACACCTTGTTAACACTTATTTTCTTTAACCTATTAAAATGCTCTTTCTTAACAAATACCTTAATAAAAGAAAATTAGACTGAGTAATCATACCTTAAACATTTCTTAATGAATATTGGCTATTCTGCTTCTCATCCTTTCTTTTACTTGCTCCCTCTTTCAGCCCCCTTGTGATGTGGAACGAAAGATTTCATCCTGCACCATCGTCAAAGCCTTAGACATTCCAAAGGGATATAAGGTTGCGACATTTATAAGCTCCCACCTTCATTGACCTATCCTTGACCATCAGTTGCACATTCGCAACGCAACTTTCGTGAAGCGCGCCAACTGTTCAAATGGTTCAAATGGTTGTGGACGGAATAGAAGAAGCTTTCGCTTAACAGGCTTCCGTGTCTAGTAGCAGGGGATCACCAAATCCTCCAGGCAGGAACCTAGGTATGTTAACTGTAGTACTGATTAAAACCATCTACATTCATATCTTATAAATTATCAGCCCAGCTATGTGATTTACTACAGTGGATATTGTATCATTTTTATCAATTTGATCTTGCCTGTAAACTGGCATGCCTCATGTAACAAACTGTTAATTGAGAATAAAATTATTATTATTATTATTATTGAAACTTATGCATTATTGCATTTGTGAAGAAACCATTTTGGGTTTCTTCACCAAACTTATGTACCCATAAGATGTTTGTGAATAACAATAATATAGCCGTCACTCCACCAACGATCGAAGAAATCAGCATGGCCACCAGACAGATCAATAGTGGGAAAGCAGTAGGACCTGAAAACATACCAGTTGAAACACTGAAGTCAGACACAACAGTAACTGTAAAGAGCCTACACGTTCTGTTAAGAAGGATTTGGGACGAAGAACACGTGCTGGAAAGAAGGATAGTTGATGAAGATGCGAAAGAAATGAAATGTGAGCAAGGGAGCCGCTGGGTCCAGGGGCCTGTGGCGCAATGGATAACGCGCCTGACTACGGATAAGGAGATTCCAGGAAGATTTGGAATATTCCACGTGCCTGTGCAGCATCATCGATAAACAGAGAGGATCGGATACATACATTAAGGCAAGGTTGAGCAAAGCAAGGACAACATTTCTACGGTTGAAGAAAATATGGAACTCAAAACGACTGTCAGTCAATATCAAAGTGAGAATCTTCAATACGAACGTCAAGGTAGTTTTACTGGATGGAGCTGAAAACCAGAGAACTACCAAAACCATAACCAAAATTGTAAGTGTCAATAAACTATTTTCTACGAAACATAATCAATATTCTTTATCTGCATACCATCAGCAACAGACTCCCCCTAGTGCGGACAAAGCAGATTACAAATGAGGAGTATATCAGGTAAATACATTACACGTGGTTTGGACATATACTGCTGAAATCTCCCAAGTGCATCACGAGGCAAACGCCAATTTGGTATCCTGAATGGAACCGGAAGAAAGGAAGGTCGAGGAACACATTACGTCAAGAATCGGAACCACATATGGAAAGGTCGAATAACAACTGGAAAGAACAGGAGAGGATTGTTTGTATAAGGATTTGATAGCGAGTGCTGGCGGAAAGCCCATACTCTTTCACGATGAGTATCGGGCATTGATTAGTAATTCCAGCCGCAGCAGATGTATATGGATCCATATTGAGTTTGCAATCAGAACACGCTGCTGGTAATCCACGCAACAAATGGTAGCCTGACTTTTCTCCAGACAGTGATTTATATTGCTGCAGAGAAATGTCTTTTTCATGTATACGTTTCGTGAATGAAGTTCATTGGGTCGAAAAGTTTGTTAGGTGAAAATGCGTGACATTTAGGCTGGAAGGAGAGAAACGTTCTACTAGTCAAATAAGACTTTTTGTCGTAATTACATACTGCAATGTAGTTTGCTGACTTGATAATGTGAAGTTTATTTGCATTTGAATAATATGTGCACAGTAGAGACTGTGGAAATAGTTTAAGTAGTAAGTGAAAAATTAAGTGAACAAGAAGAAATAAAACACTGGGGTTTTTTATTTTGGAATTTTACCGTACCAGGGCTGCTATGAATGCAAGTTGTTTGCTCTCCGATGTACTTCGAATAACATTTTGGTAAATGTGAAGGCTTACTATATTCATAACCTAACGTTCTGCAGTGCAAAACTGACGTTTCGATGAGACCATCATTTATGGAAGATCTCTCAGAGATACCAAAGAGATCATGATAAAATTTACTTACCTACCGAGTTTAAAAGAAGGTTATAAATCGGTGCGAGGGATAAGGTAAGGAATTATGGTTGGTGTTTTCATAATGAACTGACGTCATCTAGAGTGACAAGATGCTATTTAGCCATATACATGAATCGATTTCTCGTCAAGATCAGAAACTTTCTGTGGTCAGTCTAACTGATACGTCCATAATCTATAGGCTCACATGTTATACATTTTATTCCAGGTCCTACGGAAGCGTTTAAAACTGACGACGAATATACATCACTCCCGGACATTTCTCACTGATGATGTCACAGGTATTCAGTGTTTGACAACGCTTCTACCAGTAACACCTTCTAATGTATTTCGTTCCCACCCAGAGAAATCAAAAGACAGAGTCGAGGAGATCGGAAGAGTATATTTGGCGATGACCAATATATCGGAATTCTCTGATCTAATCTGTCTAGCGATTGCGGTTGATGTTGAGCACGGCGTTACCACACGTGATCTGGTGCAGATGCCTGACCGAGCGCCTTCAGCTAGATGAGTCCATTAAAACATATGGTTAGCATCCAATGTCGAAAACTTAGAGCTATTTATTTTGGGGATTTATTTACCGCCACATCACTAAAATCAGCAAAGTAGAATAAATTTGGGGGCATCTATGTCTCGGAACTCATTAGGTTTCATTTCAGCTCTTAATAGTCGTCACTGATCTTTCAATGAAAATCAGTTCATCACTTTTTTTTTATCTAGACAGACGACATTACATCATGAGGACCAATCCCATCTTTGTTCAACTACATTCTAGCTTTACAATCCCTCGTGTTGCAACCAAAAGATCTCCTGCCCAGTGATAACATAGTTAATGACACTAGAAACCTTACTTTCTACAGGACAAACGTATTCATTTATACTCTAGAGTCATTGATTCCCAATCAACTAGTATGTTCATTAGGATAAGTGCAGCCAAGTTTCTAGGCCATTCATATTGAAAGATATCAGGAAACAAGAACCAAATCTTAATACCAAGGGGTGGGAGCAAAGAAATCAACCTGTTTGAACAAGCTCGTCTCGATGACGTCATATATTGATTCTTGTAAGTTGAAGATACTTTTATTCTGGGGTTTACAACTCACAAGGTCATCCCGGGGGTCGGTTTTATATTGTTACTCATATTTGTAAATAAAATCTCTAGTCCCCATACTTTTGCAAACTACTAGGAATTCATGGTAAAACATTACTGACTTGTAATCACCACATTTGCCCGAACAGGGAACACTATGTGTTACATGTCTACCAAATGTTAGTGTCTTAAGACACTAACACAAAGGTGAAGGCATAAGAAGCCAAACCCATTGAAAATAGATTCAGATATTTGGAAGCCGTATGTTCTACATACCGTTTGGCTACGCTTTACATGCTTACACGTCTTCGAAGTCCCTACATTATTTCATAACTGTATTATTTGCCACAAATGATCACTTCAAATATTTTCCACACAGTAGTGTCGTTAACATTGTAATTGGGATATTTGACCGTTTCTGATTTTTTTTTGGAATCAATATTTTACTTCATTTTTGTTTTGTTCAATTCCGGTGGATTTGGTGTTAATTCGCTAGAAATGCAATATACATCAAAGCATCGAATGAAATCAGTCCAATAAAATAAGTCGGTTCATTAACTTTGGAATTTGGCTGTCAGCCAGTCTAGATTACCAAGTTTTAATCTACACAATGGTCGTATTGTACAGATATGGAGTTTGAATAACATCGCCTTAAGTTTCGTTTTGACGACTTTTAAGGTGTAACAAATTGAATCATGAAAATTTGTGCCGGTGTTCTAGGTTTACACTGTGACCATTATTGTCCTTACCCATTTGTGTTTGATTTCAATTGTTTTTAGATGACTTCATTGTATGCTAAAAAGATGACAATGCTTGCTGGACGAATATTCAGAGATGTTGGCAAACAAGTTGATAGCAAATCAATGAAAGTTGTTCGAATAATGAGTGAATTACCTCGCCCAATGATCTTAAAAGATTATTATCCTCCATTAGAAGAATATAGTAATATTTTACAAAAACTACGCTATCTGGGTTTGTTTAGAAATGAACATGCAGATTTTCGTGAAGAAATGGCACGTCTACGTCAATTGCGTGGCAAAGGGAAACGGAAGAAGGGTGAAAGTAAACGAGGACTATCACAATAGTGACATTATTTACTTTGTTATTTGTTTTCCTAAAAAAATATTTTGTATATATTTACTAGCAGTTTGTAAACAGTATCGAATCTTTAAAGTAATACTATTATGTGTTGAAATAAGGTTTGTTTTTTACTAATTCGAATTCCATATGGTGCTTATTAGTTATCAACTCCTTACTCAAGCAAATGTTACTGAAAGTAGGTCATATCTATAGATAACACTGACCATGTTTTGCATTATTGTACTAAATTATAGTTTAGTCCGAATTTTAGACATCTCTTATCTGTAATAGTTGTGAAAAATAAATTGTCGTTAATGCAGTTGTCAAGTTAGTCGATTTAATCTACTCAATGTTGATTAGGGTCAAGAAATGTCCTGGTTTTTCTGAATATATAGATGTTTTAGGTTACGAAACTGACATTCATCAGTCAACTCAGCATAGACAAACACAAAGGTAACTAGTCCAGCATTGGCTGTACGGGTAAAACTTGTTTCGACCAATAAACAAAACGGTTATTTCACAACTTGTCAGTGAAATGTATGAAATAAACATTACGCGATAAAAAAGTCTCATTCACGACTAGTCAAGTTATAATGCACAAATAAGAACAAATTTTTAGAATAACATTTAAGTGACAATGCCAAAAAATAATCTCTGTAGGTGATTCGGCTTTTTAAAAATCAGTCCAATTCATTAATCACAAGTAAGACAACTATCAAAATACTATTCCTAATCGGGTGACATCCTCTTTAGTCGTGTTCAAGAGATTCAAGATGACTCCTTTTATCACAAATATAACTGCATTTGTGGCATTTTAAATCAAATAAATTTCGACTGTGAATTGTATGAATAGACGTATTGCTCAAAATGTAATGGCCAAATCGATGTACGGATAGTTTATAAACAATATGGTGCATAGCCTTCTGCTGATCAGCGCATCTTTGGTATAAGGTTGAGGAGAGTCCCTTACCTCCCGTAATGCCTTCACGTGGCCACGCGTGTAAAACCGCTGCCAAGAAATCGCTACCTTGCATTCTCCTGGCAGGTGTGTTGTTCACGAAATTCAGAGTACGAAACGAATGCTCACTGCTTTGACCTGTTTAATGGATATGAATGATCCGTGTAGGTTAGTTGGAAAACCCTGATTTCAAAACAATGGAGTACATGAGCTCCAGGATCCTATGGAAACAAATGGCGTATGAACCTATTGTCGGTGACCGGCTACCATGGGACTGTGCCTCCTAACGTTGCTCCGCTGTCTTTTGCATTAGACCTCTTGGTCAAAAACTTGGGGAATGACATTCTAAGAAAACCACCCACTACAGTCTGGGCGCCCGGGCAGTATCCCACAGATCATTCAGAGTCACAGTAAGAGATGTCAATAAGCTATCCTGATTGCAATTAACTTACCATAATACTGAAATTACTTACACTAAAATGTTTGCTCTATATTTACACAAACATGGAATTTATCTCAGTTTTCAGTATGTGTAAGATGTGTTTTTCCTACAAGATAAAATATTATCGTAAAGTATTCTTCCAATCACACTTCTAATTGAAAAGAAATCTATGCATGGGTTAGAAGGACTTATTTCCGTAGGTAAAATATGATACAGTGTTTTGACACTGTTGAACAATGTCCTACTTACTTTTAACCACGTGTATATATATATATATATATATATATATATATATATATATATATATATATATATATATACTGGATAAGATATGACAGTGTTTTTTGCATTTTGCTTTGCTTACATTTATTCTTGTATAATTGCCAGCCAATACTGTTGGAACCGTAAGGCCTGTGACACATTACGGAAAGGTACTTCTCGGAGTGGCTGGATAGTAAATTGAGTTATAAGTGTTCTTGGGGACTTTGGAGCATAAATACAAGGAATAACTGCTTAACGCCATTCATATAGGAATATTTTATGAGTAATTTTGGATGTCTTAAATACGTACTTATAATGTCTGACTGAATTCGACCCATCTCCGCCTGGTGCTTTTCTGGGGCTACTGCCGTTCCCAAACACGGATAAAGGAGGAGGGTTGGGAATGTGGTTAGCGACCCCATTCTGTAGAAAACCAACTCGATAAAGAACGCTAACCATAAAAAATTGTTCAAACCATTTAAACTCTGCCCTGAGAGTCAGAAAGTCTTCATTTAGAAGAGTTATGACGCCTCATGGTGAAAGCCGAATTCCTTCGGAAGTCACGAGGCTGATGCCCCTTCCGACAACCAGAGTAACCATTAATTTAGCTACATGGAATACACGTACAATGTAGGAGACCGAGAGATTTTTCCAAATTGCTGCAGAAATGAGATATCGATGAAAATCCATATTACAAGATGAGATGTGCTACTTTTAGGGTCGACCTTTTATAGTCCTCTTTTACTATTTTATAGTGGTAATATCCCTCTAGGTGCCTATTTTATAAAGGAAACACCTCACTGTCGTCACATTTCAGTACAGTCAACAGTACATCTTTGACCTAGGACACTAAATCGCTCATATTAGTTCTATGGTTCACCAACCAACATGCCTAGAATAATAAAACCTAAAAGAGTAAGTATTCCAGGCAATTTAGCTCCATTGGGATATTAAATAATCAACCCTGACTATCATGTTTAATTATCGGCGACAGCATTGTACATACTCTTTACAATGTCAGTAAACAGTTAAAACTAAGGATCTGAATAAAGCGAATGGTTTGTGTCTGGTAAAACAACATTCGGTAGCTGTTCTCAAACTTTTTGTCACAAATACATCCACGATGAAATTAAAAGGCCTTGTTATTTCAAGGATCTATATACTGTAGTCATTCTTTCAAGGCCCTTATATGAACAAATCAGTTATTTTATACTTGAATAAACTCCATGAATATCTGTGGTATTTCTCGATGATTTTTTTGACTCATTCAAAAAAGTACGATGTGCCTGTTTTGTTAGAATATTGTGTTTCCCAATGTATATCTTACTTTCCCAACATGGTGTTAAATTCATCTGAGGCTTCAAACTAAACCACTGAGTCATGTTAATAATCCAACATAAAGGTGGTATTATTGTAAGCGACAACATGGGGAATGCATTTTACACAAATTAGTTCAGAGGGTACCCAAAGTGCTTACATGTGCGAAATTATGATATAAGGGATTTTCCCTACGATATTTTTACGAGGATTATTTACATACACATACAATGGTGGTCTAGCTTCAATTGACACATGATCTCAACTACTGAAGTTACTAAAATCTTTATCAAACTCCTTCGGATACATACAATAACCTCTATAAAATCCAATAGCTATATCGGCTGAACAGTGATATCCGGTAAATAAAAATGAAAACTATGCATGTAAATTACGGAGATTGTTACAAATAGACAAGTATTCAATGCACGTACAGGAAGTAGAGATCAACAGTTAAGAGATTATGAATGGATCATATATTGAAGATTCATGTAAATATCTAGAAATGTGAGACAGGATAACGGAGGCGCATTTCACTCTAGGTGCTAATAGCGTATTAGTTACTGAGCATACGTAAGTAATATAATAAAATATGCAACATAAAGCGGATGATGAGAAGAGCATATAGAATTAAATAGTACTACACTAGGATGAACCAGCTATTTAATACCCACTGGTTTTCATTGATAACTTAAATGAAACCAATCGGTGATAATTGATTTGTCACAAGACTACAATTTACAAAACCCTACAATTTTCTTTAGTAATGGTAATGACACTTTAGTATTTAGTTTTATTATGATAAATACCAGGGTGCCGATTAATTATTCATTGATATTGGTCCATTGAAATAACAATCTCTTTCGAGTTTAATAGAATAAAGTTATAGACTGCAATGCTGAAGGTGTATACTTGTACAATAATGCAATATTTACAAGCAATTCACAGAATTTTCATCTGAGTTATGCGAAGTGATACGGAGTTTCTGTTCGGGATCCCAGAGAATATCATTAGTGATTTTTTTGAGTTATTATAGGTAATATGGCACAAGTTCAGTTACGGTACTACAAGTTTATTAATGTATACTAACATTTTGGTAACATTCACTTTAAATATTCAATGTCGCGTGAAAGTAATCTGTTATTGAATGCTGAAATTGCACATACCTACTCCTGTGCATGACGTATATAATAGACTATTTACATTGGTAATGACTTAACTTTATTTCATCTATTTCCACTCTTTATTAGGTCAATATTCGTCATCATAATTGAAATCTAGTTCTTAATTGAACGATCTAACTTGAGTAGCTTACATTTGCCTTGATTTCGTTCAATACCACGTTCTTTTTTGAAATGTATACATCGTGTGCTTAGATATTTTATATGACGGGTCTAGAAATTCCATACACATAACGTGTTATCTTATGTTTATACTAGTAAGATGAAACTGTAGGCAAGCTGTTGTGTTTATGATCACAGCTTCGAACTCTTTGTTTGGATCATTGACGAATATGTACCTATCAATTGTATATAGTATTTTTCGGCTTTCTTGGATGAATTTCTCCTCATTCTCAGTCTCGTATAGCTGGTTGGGTTAACTGTTCGAAAGTGTGTTGTTATTATCATCATTCATTCTTGTAATGTTCAAACTACCATGGTTCGAAATTTTTCATACAGTCCCTCCCCCCAATGATGCGGGTTTACACTTTCGGTACGTAGTGGTTTCGTTCGTGGGACTGATCGGCAAACGTGTGATTGTAAGACGAAAGAGTTGGCAGAACAGGAAGCGATCGTTGATCCTCGAGTTGCCACCGAAGGTCCAGGAAAAACGTGCTGTATTTGTTGCTTGAGTTAGCTTACCACACCAGATTGGTTTGTATCCAGGATCTGAAGATTGCGCTCGTAAAAATCCGGATCAGAAAACGCTGCAGACATAGGACGGAACCACTTTGAGCCAAGAAAACAGAAGCCACCATGACAACTAAGTGCGAGACCAAACGTATGCCAGACATATTGGGAACCAGAACATCGACTGAGGGCGTTGACAAGAGCGTGGGTGATCAGGCCATCTCCCGCCGAAATTGACTGGAGTCGACGGTACC